CACACCAAGGTACATGCCCTTGACTGGAATCAAACCTGGGACCCTTTGGTCTGCAGGCTGATGCTCTATCCACTGAGCCAAACCAGTTAGGGCTAGGAGTCTGGTTTTTAAACTGTTTTTATGGAGTGGCAGAGGTGGATAAAAAGACTGTTTACTTAATTTTTAAAAAATTACCTGAAGATCCACATTTTTATAAGGTTGCATAAGAAAACAAGGTTATAACTTTAAAATATTCAATAAGGAAATTGACACCTATAAATGGGTTACCACTCTCACATGCTTTCTGGCTTAACGTTTCCATGTATCTCACTTTTGTCAACAATAGTGATTACCATGTAGTACTTTGGACAATGCAATGCAAATATAATACAGATGAATTTCAAAATGAAATTACAAATAATAAAAAAAGATGTGGAATTTCATTAGGTGGATAGACATGATATGCAGCGTCACAAAGTAAGGTCACCTGAGCAATAATTAAAGAAGAGAAAGTCAATGAGGATTACTATAGGATAAGGAATAATCTTAGTATCAAAATGTTCTAAGTACACCTTAGAGGTGAATAACTGAATCCTTCAAGTAAAACCTCAGTAGCCCTAACTGGTTTCGCTCAGTGGATAGAGCATCAGCCTGCAGACTGAAGGGTCCCAGGTTTGATTCCTGTTGAGGGCACATGCCTGGGCTATGGGCCCAATTCCCCAGTAGGGGGCGTGCAGGAGGCAGCTGGTTAATGGGTCAATGATTCTCTCTCATCATTGACGTTTCTCTCTCCCTCTCCTTCCTCTCTGAAATCAATAGAAATATATTAAAAAAAATAATTTTTAAAAACCCTCAGTAACCTCTTTATGATCGCATGGTAATAGCAGGATGGAAGATACACACTAGTCTATAATTTTTTTCAAAACACTTCAGCTGCTCCACTGAGAACTGGATTCAGTCTTGCAGTTTAGAACTTAGTTGTGATTTTGCCTAAACTGTACTCAATATAGTTTGAATTGCACTTGTTTTCATTTCTTTTTTTAGATAAAATTCTGATGAAGGCATTTTTCCCACTGTTATCATTTAAAGTAGAGTCACTTCAAATAGCCTTTTCTAGGCATTACCGTGTTATAGTAAGACAGCTAACGCTAGAGTTAAAAACCACCTGAGTTGCAGTCCACTCCACTGCCTGCTAGTTGTGCGCCACGAGGCAAGTTACTTAACATTTTATTTTCACCTGTGAAAAGGGATGGTCATGGTCCTTATTCACACAGGTCGAGGACTGAGCCAATCCGTGTAAATCACTCAGGGCAGTGCTCGCACAGAGTACGCATTCAAACACAGTTACTTTTTGACACATTATTGATCTTCAGATATAGATGATTGTCATTATCTTGTCTTTGTTTTCAGTTTTCAAAATCAGCGTTATACCAAAAAGCTAGAAATTAAGTGGGGAGAGATGAAAAAAACCTGTTTGTGATAAAATGATAGTAACACTGTATAAAGAAGCTTTTATTTTTACATGTGCAAAAAATTAGTTTTTTATGCTTATGTTTTAAAAGATGGATGTTTTAAAGTACTTTTCATGTTCTCAGGCACATATCTGGCTCAGACCTCTTTCTCAGTGCGAGTTACATCTATAGCCATTATTGTGACTGCAAAGACCAGCATTATTACCTTTCCGGGGACAAAATCAATGACGTCATCTGCCTTCCCGTGGAGCGGCTGCCTCACCTGACACCGGTGCTGGCCTGTCAGGACCGACTTCTGCGCGTGTTACAGGTTGCTATTATTTGCGTCTTTATAATTTTTCATCTTTTAGGTAAATGAATATTGATAAACAATGTCTACTTAAGATAAATTATTTTAGGGGTTACTACCATTTTAAATACCCTATTTAAAATTATATCTGGAGGTTTTTTAGGAATGTTTTAATTTATAACTAATTTTGTTTACCTGAGGCAAATGTGTTCAGATCTTTGGCAAGTTTTTAGAGAGGCATATATGGAAAAAAGGATAATTTCCCGCCCCGCATGACTTTGAGCTAATACAGTCAGAATGGAGTACCTTAACTACGAAAACCCTTCCCAGTTTTTCTTTTCCTTTTCCCATCACTCTCCCCTCTCCCGACAAATAAAACTAAAGGAGGAAATTGGTTTGGGGAGAGGTTTTGGGCTTTAAAGGGATGTTGAGATCAGGGCTGCGTCATTTGAGTGGATCCACTGTTTCTGACAGTGTGTGGAACAGAATAAGCACTCAGCAAATACTGGTTAGACGAGCGAGTGATAGAGGGACAATTAAAAGCCATAATTGGCTAAAACAACTGCTTGAGGCCATTGTTACTAGCCATGACTGCTAGAACCATGTCAACTGTGTCTTCTTGAAAGTAACTTTTCAGCCCTGGCCGGTGTGGCCTCATTGGTTGGGCGTTGTCCCGTGCACAAAAGGTTGCTGGTTCGATTCTGGGTCAGTGCAATGCCCAGGTTGTGGGCTCAATCCCCCGTAGGAGGTAGCAGCCACTCTCACATTGATGTTTCTCTTTCTCACTCCTTCTCCATTCCTCTCTCTCTAAAAATCAGTAAAAATATTTTTTAGAAAAGGAAGTAACTTTTTCAATAAAATACACACACCAAGACCCATACAATAAAGTTTAAGTGCAAATCACATGTAACAGGTGGATTAACTGGTTCAGAAACAGGCCGATGATAGTGCAGTTGAACGAAAGTCGAGCTGTTTATTCTATGCCCCCCCCTGGGGTTTCATAGCCAGATAGCCATTTCTCGGCACCAGCCCTTTTATAAAAGGGAAAGTTCAGTGGTTCTGTGAGGTTTTATTTTTTCCCTAGGTGAATTGAAATAATGCTGAAGGCTCATTCTAGAGACAGGAGAGATTCATTTCTCCCTCGCCTGCTCCCAGATAGGAGTCGTTTGAATGAGGCTTTTTAGGAGCTGACTGGCACTCGATTAGAGACTTATGTGGCTGAATTCTAGGATTCTGCTCTGTTTACAAGAAGAGCTCCATATGCTTATTGGAGAGGGAAAAAAATCCCCAATGGTTTATGGAAAGCATGAAGTTGTAGTCTTCCCTCTGCCCTGCACATTTTCCCTGCTCCCCATCTGCCTTGCTAGGCAGCTGCTGTGCCTGAGGTACCTTTTGTGTTTATAGTTACTAGAGGCCTGGTGCACAAAATTTGTGCACTTGTGGGGAGGGGGATCCCTCAGCCCGGCCTGCACCCTTTCGCAGTCTGAGAGCCCTCAGGGGATGTCCGACTTCTGGCTGAGTGGTGCTCCCTTGTGGGAGCGCACTGACCACCGGGGCACAGCTCCTGCATCGAGCATCTTACCCTGGTGGTCAGTGCGCGTCATAGTGACCAGTCATTCCGCCATTCGGGTGATTTGCATATTAGCCTTTATTATATAGGATATGTAGATGTCTGTAAATTTTTTAATGTTATCCTATATAATAAAAGCCTAATATGCTAAGTGTCCAGTTGTCTGTTCAACCAATTAAAGCGTAATATGCTACTGATATGCTAAGGCCACTCAACCACTCGCTATGATGTGCACTGACCACCAGGGGGCGGATGCTCCGACTGGTAGGTTAGCTTACTGCTGGGGTCTGGCCGATTGGGACTGAGCAAGATGGGCCAGACATGCCCTGGAGCTCTCCTGCGGTCCCTCCCTGGCTGGTCAACCTCCCATGCCCCTCCCTGATCCCGATCATGCACCAGTAGGGTCCCTCGGCCTGGCCTGCACCCTCTCACAATCTGGGACCCCTCAGGGGATGTTGGAGAGCGGGTTTTGGCCTGATCCCACAGGCCAGGCCGAGGGACTCCACTGTGCATGAATTCGTGCACCGGCCTCTAGTTTTAAATAAAAGCTAAAGCATATGGCTCTCTTGTACATTCTAAATGTAGTTAAACTTTTTACTCTAATTTTGCAAATTCTTGTCACTGAGTGATTTATCATAGATGTTCTTTCCATGTGAGTATGAGTACTTCTGCCTCATTCTTTATAGTTTCACAAATACTATGCACTTAATAAAAACATTCCAAGTGGAAAAATGGAAAAAGAGACAAAGGACCTAACTTGTTTCCTTGTCTAAATAGCAGGTCCTCCTGCCTCTCACTGGACGGGTTTTGGAAATGCCCAATGGCAAGGCCAGAACTTTTCCTAGGAAGTAACTGTGGGCCTGTCCGCACGTTCAAATGTGCTCTTTGTTAAAGGACAGAAGCAAACTGTTCCTGGTAGTTTTGTTAGGAAACTGACCAGTGACAGGTTTTCAGACAAACAGAGGAGTTAAAATGAAAAGCATTGAAAGTGGAGGATATTTTAAATATTTATCTTCTTGATCTTTACACTTTATACATATTTTACTTTAAAATGAACCAGGAGATCACTGTTTGATTCCTGGTCAGGGCACATGCCCAAGTGGCTGGCTCAATCCCCAGTAGAGGGCGTGTGGGAGGCAGCCAATTAGTGATTCTCTCTCATCATTGATGTTTCTATCTCTCCCTCTCCCTTCCTCTCTGAAATCAATAAAAAAATACTTAAAAAATAAAATAAAACAAATTAACACGCAAAATTGCTAATATGCAAATTAATATTCGCAACCTAATTTTTTCTGCAGTTTTATTCCAGAGTTCATTAGGAGTATTGATGTTATCTCTGAGTGCCTATATTCTTTTAAATGTGTATTCTGGCCCTGGCCGGGTGGTTTAGTTGGTTAGTGTCATCCCGTACACCAAAAGGTTGCTGGTTCGACCCTGGTCAGGTGCATATGAGTGGGAACTAGTTGATGTTTCTTTCTCTCTCCCTTCCTCTCTCTAAAAATCAATTTAAAAAAAAAAAAAGAAGAAGAACATACCCTCAGATGAAGATTTAAAATAAAGAAAAAAATTTTTAAAAAAAAATTGTATTCTGTTTGTTTTAAAATACTTGTTCTCCTTCAGGGATCAGACGTGGTATTTGAAATTGAAGTTTCTGGCCCACCTACTGTCTTAGCTCTACACAATGGAAACGGCGGTAATCATTTCATTTTTCACAGTCAGATAAGGGAGTGCCTTATGTGAAGTCACGATATTTGAGGTGTTAATGATTTAACCATATATAAAGGGAAAATGGGAGCTCGTGGAAGGAACATGAACTGGAACTGAGATGGTGGTTATGTGACAACTTGCCAGCCACTAACAGTAATGAGTTATTGCACTGAATTTTGAGTGTTCACATCTTAAATTAGATAAGGAAGAGTCTCACCTGTAATGGTTATAAAATGATATGAGTATATAACCATCCTCCCAAATTAAGTTTTCTGTCTCTGTATATTATTTTTTAAATGAGATTTTTACCTGAAAGGCAATATATGTGAAAATATTTTAATTTTAAAGAGATGAGTTGTGGGTAAGCTTATGTTGGCTGTACCTGTGACTAGGTGACTCTGGAGAAGACGTTTTGTTTGGAACGTCAGATGGAAAACTTGGGCTCGTTCAGATCACTGCACCCACGCCAACACACAAGTGGGAAATCCTAAATGAGAAAAAGCGGGGAGGTATGTTTTTTATGTTGTTCAGATTCTGAAATTTTGTTAATTATTGAATAAAGTATCTTAGATTACATAATTCATTCTCTTTTATTCATTCAAAGTATGTATATAGAAGACTTGGCAATTCACAGAGCTACCTCAGCTGTATTTACTATTTGTTTATTTATCGGGTCTATCATATTTTTGGTATCATTTGTTAAAAATAAGACTTGCTAATAGTAATTTGGAATGGATCGGCTCTTATGGGCTAGTGTCCATCTATAACGTCACTTTGTGCTCAAATCCACTTTGTATTGTTTGTTGTAGGAAATAGATTAGAATTTGGGAGTACTGGTTTGAAGCAAGGAAGAAGTGCATGAGGGAACTATTCCTGTTTTCTCAGGAATATATACATTCTAAGGGTAACTTGTATCTGACTTGACAGGTAGTGAGATGGCTGTTGATAAGGACAGCACGTGCATTCATGTATTTATTCCTTCAACAAACACTTGTTAGGGAAGACAAAGGATAAACAAATAAGATAGCTTCAAGTAGTCCCCTGCAGAAAATGTACCAGAATGATGATGGGTAGAAGGAGGAGGGCGTCCTTTAGACTGAGTGGGAGGTCACGGAAGGTGTCTGGTAAGAGGTGAAATTTGAGCTCAGATCTGAGTGATAAGAGGAGGAGTGGTCAGAAGACTGGAGGCAGAGGTAAACATGGTTCCTTTGAAAAGCATCCGGAAGACCAGTGTGACCACACGCCTCAGCATGGCCCTGGATGGAACCAGGGAGGTCGGGAAGGGTGAGTCATGCAGGTCTTTGTGAGTCTTGGAACAGGGTTTGAAGTTTAATCTAAGTGCAGTGGGACGTCGAACAAAAAAACGCTCCGTGGAGAATGGATTTCGAAGGAAGCAGGTGAAACTGGAAGCACGGAAGTCAGTTTGGAGATTACTGTTGTTGTAATTTCTCCTCGTCTAGGCTCGAGGTACCATGGCCTGGACTGGGCTCATGGTAGTTGCAAATGGAAAGCTGCAGGTGGAGTTCATAGAATTCGCTAATGTGTTTGTTGTGGAGGTGAGAACAAAGAGAAGGGTTAGAGATGTAGTCTAGATTTTTGGCCTGAGCAACGAGCTGGTCTCAGACCGAGATGAGGAGGGGCTAGAGAAGGAGCATTATTACTGGCGTGTGACAAAGGGCTGCCAGGAGAGTTTTGTCAGGGGCTTGGAAAGTTTGAGGTGCAAATGATGTCTCAGAGAAGAGGCTGAGGGGGGACTTTGCTATGTAAGTCTGGAGAGAGGCAGAGCTGGGGGTGGAAGTTGGGGCGCCATTGCCATGTGGACTATATTTAAAGCCTTAGAAATGAACGAATGGGGAGAAACGAAAAGGATGGGTACCTGATTGTGCTCAGTTGTTCAGTGCGTTTTTCTCCATTCTGTTTTTTAATTCTTACTTGGCGTAAACTTAACTATAATATAGTATTACTAATAACTTCTCTTTTCATTTTTAAAGGTATTTTGTGTGTTGACAGCTTTGACATTATGGGTGATGGAGTTAAAGATTTACTTGTTGGGAGAGATGACGGAATGGTGGAAGTGTACAGTTTCAATAATGCAACTGAACCTGTTCTGCGCTTTGATCAGGTAAGTTCATTGTTCAAGACTGTGTGCTTCTTACTAATCAAATCACTAATTATAGACATGACTGTGATGGTTGGGTTTTCTTAAATGAAACATATTAAAATCTTGTGTTTGGCTTGAAATATTGCTACTTTAAAAATATTGCCCTGGCCGGTTTGATTCAGTGGATGGAGCGTCGGCCTGCGGACTGAAGGGTCCCAGGTTCGATTCCGGTCAAGGGCATGTACCTTGGTTGCAGGCTCATCCCCAGTGGGGAGTGTGCAGGAGGCAGCTGATCAGTGTTTCTAACTATCCCTCTCTCTTCCTCTCTGTAAAAAACCAATAAAATATATTAAAAAAAATAAAAATATTGCTGCTTTGAGATGCTACAAACTCTTCTCTAGGCTACTCCTGTGTTGCCTTCCAGCTGAATAATAAATTACTCTTCATTTGGTTTCTAAATATTTCATATCTAAGTATTAACTATGTTGCCTTAGTTTCTATAATGCAAAATAGGTTAAGGAGGAACGTGTTTGGTAACATAAATGAGGCTCTTGTTGGGAAGCAGTGAGGTTGCAGGGGAAGCTTCGGGTTGTGAGGACGACGTGAGATTGTCCGTCAGCAGAGGGAAGAGCAGCCCCTTCCCTGGGGTCTCCCCGAGGCTCGCTGGGGGAGAAGGACGACCAGGTAAGAGCGTTTAGTTCACAACTTGTACGTCATCAAGCCTGTCGTCCCAGGGCACAGAGGCGCGGGAGAAGCGTTCTCGCATAAACGCCTCTTTCGGGTTCATGAAGCGATGTTCTCTCGTCCGGGGCCTCCCTCCTGCCTCGGCCACAGCTCAGTATCAGCTTTTCTGTTTCCCCCAGTGGTACCTCCTGGTCTCAGCTTCAAGTCCATCAGCAAATACAAACGTTTTGGTGTATAGATAAAGCGTATTATAGAGGTAATAGAGATAAAGGTACTGTACAACTTAGTTGCTAGATTTATTTCCTATTTGTTCATCTTTGGTGTAAAAAATCCTCTTGCTAATGATGCAAAAAATAGTTTAGGCTTAAAAATACATACTAATTCCTTGTTGTTGTCGTCCTGTTTTTTTCTCAACTCTCCGGAAACTTTCCTGTTTGGGCCCTGAGTCTCCCTGTGACTTCTGCCCCAAATCCCGGTGCGGACAGCGTTTCCCTCCAGCGGGTCCAGCACCGGGAAGCCTGCCTCCCACTCTCCCTCCTGTCCATCTGCGGACGGGGCACTGCCCTTGGGTTATGTTAAGGCTGCAGATGAGCTGCCTCGCTTGCATTCGTGTCCTCACTCTCTTCATCGTTTTCCTATCGGGAGAGGCTCCTATGTGCACTGGTTAAGGAGCCAATCAGAGAAAGAATATATACATACACCTGAAGCGTGATACTTTTAGTTAACTTATCTATTCATTTGCTAGTATTTTGAGGAATGAGCAAAGCCTTTGTGAGTTTATTCCCCTGACTGGCATTCCATGTTGTTATTTACATAAACAATATCTATACTGTATTATCTAGCATCTCCGATTTTACTCTTATTTGGTTTTTATTTTTTTAATATATTTTATTGATTTCAGAGAGCAAGGGAGAGGGAGAGAGAGAGAGTTAGAAACATCGATAAGAGAGAAACATCGATCAGCTGCCTCCTGCACATCTC